AAAAAAAAAAAAAAAAAAAAAAAAAAAAAAAAAAAAAAAAAAAAAAAAAAAAAGTGGTTATCAAGTATCGAAAGATTCAAAACCCAACAATTGGAGCTTGGGAAATTATGGACCAGTGGAGGTACAAGAGGTACAAGCCAACAGGACAAACAACATAGCTGATAGAACGCATTGATTCTTTTTTTGTTGATCAATGATTTATTTTTTATTGATTTAATGAAATTGTATTCATTTGCAATGAGACCACCATGCATGGGGGACTCAAACACAAGTCCCACACCACATCAGACGCACATGAGACACTCAGGAGGTAACGCAGTCCAAGACTACCGTCTTCACCCGAATAGAACGCTCGGTCATTATCGCCGCATCTGGACCGAAAATTGTGCCAAATACAGCTATAATGACCGGGACTTCTATTCGGGTGAAGACGGTAGTCTGACCAGACAACACCAAACTTAGTTGTCTTCTCTGTCACCTCCAGCTACGGCCACCCAACTCGTCATGCAGGTAAGCCTCTCTCTCTCTCTCTCTCTCTCTCTCTCTCTCTCTCTCTCTCTCTCTCTCTCATACTACAGCTATGGCTATGGTGTCCAGCGCCGTTGACTACACTGCACTACGCTCACTTTCACTCGCTCAGCCGCCTCTCCAATGCACAAGACCACAGCAGCGCTTCCTCATTGAGTGCAAACCATATGTGTTGGCATCCAAGTGTTGCTGGACTTTTGTACTTGCTGATCTGCCTTCCAGACTTCTGCTGCCTTTGTTTGCTGCCTCCAGAAGCTTACGGATTCTCCTTGGACCTTGCTGCTTGGTTGGACTGCCTGACACTTGGCCTAACGACTTTTGTTATCTTGGCTCAAGCTTGTGATGCCTACCTGAAAATAGACTCTTCAACCCATAACTGCTATCTGCGAGGTGTGTCCTACCACAATCTACTTAATTAACCTGCCTAGGCATCTGTAGGTCATGGTACCAACGGAAACTAGTCTTCTGGAGCATTCGTGAGTATCGTACAAGTGGCTAGGACCACTAATGGAACATGGAATGGGGCTCGAGCCTGGAACTCGGAACTGGGACCTGGGACTGGGACTCGTGACTGGGACCTGAGAGTCAGACCTGCGAGCAAGACTCCGAACTGGGACCTGGGACTGAGACTCAGAACTGGGACATGGGACTGGGACTCGGAACTGGGACCTGGGACTGGGACTCGTGACTGGGACCTGAGAGTCAGACCTGCGAGCAGGACTCGAAACTGGGACCTGGGACTGAGACTCAGAACTGGGACATGGGACTGGGACTCGGGACCTGGGAATGGGAATCGGGACTGAACCAGGGGTATTGAGATTTGTGAACACTTTCACATTTGTCTACATGAATTATTTATATTCACATGAAACAGAAGAACTAACACAGCGACACACTGAATCAAATATAAGCATTTCACAATTTTACCAATCTCTGAATGAACCTGGTCCAAACAATTTGTTCCATGAAACAAAACTATCAGGTCCAGGACATAGAGCCCAGCACTTCTTCCTCTCTCTCTCTCTCTCTCTCTCTCTCTCTCTCTCTCTCTCTGTGTCTGTCTGTGTGTGTGTGTGTCTCTCTCTCTCTCTCTCTCTCTCTCTCTCTCTCTCTCTCTCTCTCTCTCTCTCTCTGTGTGTGTGTGTGTGTGTGTGTGACTGTGTGTGTGTGTGTGTGTTTTATCATGTTTGCTACACACCTCCACAAAAGAAAAAATGACTGTGACAGATTGTTTCGTTGGACTTTCACCGACTCATCAGGAGGTTGAACCCCAACAGTCTGCCCAGGATGCATTTGACCGATGGATAAGGACTCTCACCACATCGGCCAGAGTTAGAAATACGCCTGAGAGAGAAAAGTGGTAGACCTTACTCACTCCAACCTTGCAATCCTAGCAGACGGTCAGTCCAAACCCCTGACAAGAATGGCACTAAGTCTCAGAAACTAGTCTGACACAGCCATAAAAATGTGGACAGTAAGATTGCAGTCCCATGCACATCTTTCGGTCATCATCAGTTGCAAGTTTGCGGTGTGTGAAAAGATCGTTCTGGACTCATTGATGGTTAGATTGTCAGGGCAGCCACTGGAGCCTGTGTAGTACGGTGATGCAATGTCCGGGAAAAGAACACGCATAAAAAAAAAAAAAAAAAAAAAAAAAAAACCGGATATGGACCACAATAGCCAGTAGCACATCGCCAATACACAGCTGATCATAGCAGCGGGAGATGGCCAACATATCTCCCCCTCCCCCCCCCGTCCTCTCCCTATCCCTTTCTTTCAGACCAGGGGTTGTCAAGACATTGCCTCAAATGTAGAATGCCAGAGACCGTTGTCAAGCAGCGGCCTCCCTCTGATACAGGAAGAGGACTATGTTCACACACCGGGCGAGGGCGAGCAACTTCCCCCTCCCCATCCGCTTTCTTCAGCTTGGGGTAGACAACAAAGGGCCTCCTCTACCCCACAACCTGCCTGCCCCCCAACAACAACCAGGGGTTGTGAAGACATTGCCTCCAATGTAGAATGCCAGAGACTGTTGTCAAGCAGCGGACTCCCTCTGATACAGGAAGAGGACTATGTTCACACACCGGGCGAGGGCGAGCAACTTCCCCCTCCCCATCCGCTTTCGTCAGCTTGGGGTAAACAACAAAGGGCCTCCTCTACCCCACAACCTGCCTGCCCCCCAACAACACAATCCAACCCTCGATCAAGCTGCAGGAAGGGTCAGAAAAGGAAGCCCAGTTGTTGTTGGCTTTCCCAGACGACGAAAGGGTCGGACTAAGGACATACTCGCACTAGGACTTTTCCCACGCCTCTATGGACATAGGTGCGATCAGATACATGCAGGACAGGCACGAATTGCAGTCAGGTACATCGAGGAAAGCCCTAGTGTGAGCATGCGCTAATTCCCTTTCCAACTGTCGCTGCAAACTAAAATAGCACTTGACCTAGTCATTTTTTTTTTCTTCAATAAAAAGGGCGACAGCCTTGAGGTATCATCATCAAAGTGATCGGAACCAGGTAATCCAGAGTTAATTAATTCATCTGATTGCATCAGGATTCGAACTTAGGTCTATTTATCAATATCAACAGTTCATGGGTGTACCATTCTGCCCAAATGGGACCCAGTTTTTTATTTCTAAATGGCAGGAAGCTGCTCCAACCCTCACGGCATAGTCACACTAGCACTTTCCTGAACGTATCTGACCGCAATTACGGCCAGACCAGATGCATATGACCGCAATTGCGTCCAGAGCTCAATCGAAAAAGTCCAACTGCGAGTATCCCTCAATCCAAACTGCGTCCCTGGTAAATCAACCAAAATGTGATGACGTCAGAACTTGATGGCAGCTTGAAAAGATAGATGAAAGCAGACGGTCCAGAGAGAGGAGCAAAAGTTGTAAAACAATGCGGAAATGAGGAGGACATGGAAAAGGGATGGCCATGGAGACAAACCAAGAGATGCAGAAGAAGAAGATGCTTACACACGCCAAGGCACGTCCAGCACGTCATCGATGAAACCCAAAAATAGCATAAAACAAATGGAAGCAAGAGCAGCGTTGTACTCCACAAGCCACTGCAACCACACATCAATCAACCAACCAATCAACAAACAAATTAACCAATCAATCAAACAAATCAGTCGACGATTCCACAAATCAACCCATCCATCAATCACTCAATTGATAATTCAATTTAACTGTCCTCATGCCTCAGCCTCATCCCTTTCCGGATGTTGAAAGGCAAATACTGTGAACCACAAACTCTCTCTCTCTCTCTCTCTCTCTCTCTCTCTCTCTCTCTCTCTCTCTCTCTCTCTCTCTCTCTCTCTCTCTCTCTCTCTCTCCCTCTCCCTACCCCTACCCCTGCTCGGAACATGAACGGGGGAGTAAATCCTTACTCACCGAGGAGTCCGGTGTATAATAGAAGTGCTGGAAAACAATGATGCACACGAGGTAGACAATCCCTGCCACAAGGCCCATCGCTTCTGGTCTGCATGATAAGCACAGCCAAGCCCAGACAAAGCACCAAAAACCACAACCACTCGGGAAAATCAGAAAAACATTTTGGATATTTATTTGCCACATTCAAACCTAATTTACCACAGACGATCAGAAAAAATAATGTGGAAATGCCCCTTACATGTGAAGTGAAAAAAACACGAACAATTTCCAGGTCCTTTCGATATATCTACACATCCTGCCGGGAATAATAGAAAAGAGAAGAGGAATACATATATATACATTGTCACATCACTACAAACTAAAAGAGCGCACTTTGCGGAACAAAGAATAAAAGCAAAAAACGGGCACAGTGATAACATGCAAAAATAA